AGTGAGATTATGAATATTGAGGAAAATATTGTGTCCCCCCTTTATACTTAGGGGAAAAAAATATTATGTTTAAAACGAGTGTATTCCGCTTTTTTCGAATAAAATGTAATCGGATAGCTGCACAGTAGTAACAACAACACTTGCAAAAAGTAGTTGAGAGGTGCACATAAAATCTGAAACGTTCGTATACGCTTAACACTTACACCGTAAAAATAAAATGTTGGAATATACTTTCAACAATTCTAAGCAACGAAGTAAAGTAAAACGTGATACTTTTCGCTTTGAGAAAAAAAATAAAACTTCTATATACGGTTTCTTTTTCATTATTCTTTACATGGTTTATTATTTTTTACACATTTTCAAAGTTTTTTATCTCTCCGTTAGAGATAAAAAAAAACTTTTCTCTAAGTAATTTAAAATATTACATAGAATTTTTTTAAAACATTTTAATTTTCTTTACCCACATTTAAACTAAATATATAAAAAATTAAAATTAATTATTTAATTAATTTACATTATTTACAAACAAGATTTCTTGGCAGAAAAATACGTGATTTTCACACTTCTTTCATTTTTATATAGTCATTGCTTTAAGCTTTTTTTTTTTTTTTGCACCAAAGGGTTTGATAAGGTATAAAATATATATAATAAGATAAAAATTTGGCAATGTTTCAAGGACAGTCCCTATATTCCGATCGATGATAGTTCTTTTTACTCTTTTTCATAAAGGAAACCCGGGTCTCATTCGGTTCAGTTCATCCCTTTATACTGAACAAAAGATTCATTTCACGGATGTGATCACAGCAACCTCTCCTGAGCATGAGTTTCATCAAATATTTCACATTTCTCAATAGTTTCTCTTCTCTAAACTTATTCTTATACATCTTCCTCTATCCACACATATATATATATATACATATAACACATAAATTTGTCTACGTTATACTAATTTTATTAGAAATTTAAATTTTCCCCAACTTGCACAAACTAGTTTTATTCAATTCGAATTTCAAAAGCGACATTTTCTCAATTTTAGTCACGAGTTCACAGAATTGAAAGGAGTTCCAAGCATGGCGACCTTTTTCGTACCATATATCTTATAGAAAAACATAGAAAATTCGTTCTTTTTAAAAGAAAAAAAAATTTTATGTTTTTTTAAAACTTGAATAATTTTACATATGATTTATATGAGAAAAAAATGTTTTCAAAATTTTCAAATAGCTATGAAATAATTTAATTAATTAATTTATCATTGAATGTATAAATTATTCATTATTTCAAATAGAAAAAAAAGAAGCCCTTTCAATATCCGGTTAATTTAATACTTGATTACTAAAAAAAAAATCCACCTTTTTTATATTAATATTTTTCAATCATCGGCAAAGTAATAATTCTCGAAAATTATACTATACTTCCTTTCTTTGACATTTTATCTGAAATTCTTCATTAGAGAAACAGTATCTAAGATTACTTTTTGTGGAAAAGATGTCGAAGCGTAGGAAATGATTTTAAATTTCATCTTCTATATTTGAAACTTCTGTTTCCCGAATATGAAAAAAATTCACTGACTTTCTCGATAAGAAAAATTTATTTCTAATTTTTCAAATTTAATTTTTGATCTAAAATAAAAATTTTTATTTTTAAAAAATATATTTTTAAGATGAAAACTAAATATTGCTTTCTACTTACAACAAATCTTCGAAAGGAAAAAAATATAAATTTCTATTTATAATAAATAAAATAAATCAAGCATCAAAAAATTTGAAATTGAAGTAGTTAAACATATTTTGCTAATACCACAAAGTTCTGATCCTTATTAAGTTCACCAGAAGGAAGAAATTATTATACTTAGAGCTTAACGAAGTTACAAGGATGACATTCAGCGTTATAAGATTAAATTGAAATGGTTCCAAGTTATAAGGTAAGCTACATTGCGACTCACAGTTACTATCAAGGGACCAAAACATTTCGCACTTTCCAACATAATTTAATTATTAGTGAAAGAAAAAAAAGAAGATAAAAATATGAAGAATTGCAAAATTATTTTTGCATAAAAATCAGTAACAAATTTTATTTAATTTTCAAAAGTATTTTTTCCTGAAACTTTGGAAATATTTATAGAAGAAAAAAATATTTCCCCTATCTTTCAAAAATTATATATTCTAAATTTTTTACACCTTCAAAAGAATTTATTTCTAAATAAAAGAGTATTTTTGTCAGTGAAGCACTAATAGATATTCAAATAATTCTTTTTTTTCCATTTAATAAATCTAAAGATTTTTTTGCAAAATCATTATTTCGACAATAAAACGTCAGATTAAAAGAGAAGTATTCCCCTCTTGGAGTCGCTTTTCCTGTATAGTATTCCAGGGGGTTGCTATATAGCGCAAAGTCGATTCAACAGGTGCTACAGTGCATTCTTTTGTACCACGCAAAAATATGATACGAGAGCTAGAAAAAGAAGTTGTACACACGTAGCTTTCAAAGTGTAAAGCCCACCTACACGTAATCAGGTTGTTTAAAAAAAAAAACCCAGAAAAAAAATGTCACAACGAAAATACATTCGGCTTTGTGCGTACATATACCGAAGAAAATGAAAATTTACGCTTATTGACGCGAAATATATATATATACATACACACACACATTCATTTTTTCTTTTTAAATTTTTTCACATCGAAAAATATTTCACTACAAAATTTTTTTTTTCATCTCAAATACGAAAAAATGAATACAATATTCATAATTAAAAAAAAAGTATTTCACATTTCTGAAAATTCATCAAATGTTAATTTCAAACAAAAGGAATATCAATTCAGAGAAAATGAAGGTCTTGAATCCGAAATAGTCAAAAGGTGGATTTTTAATTACAAAAAAAAAAATATACAGACAAAATATTATTTTTCGCAAAAAAAAATTCTTTATAACTTTTGATTGTTATCGAGAATATTCTAGGCACGTAAATACTGAGTAATTCATCAAATATGAATACATAATAGTTGAGTTTAACTATTCATGAATAGCTGCGCTTCGAATTGACAATGCTTCTGATTAGATCTCAGGGGGAATAAGTCTATTCTTAAAAAGAATATTTCAAATAAATGTACTCTCTTTTTCAACCAATGAGAGACAATTTTTTACAAGTCAGAATGACAGTAAAATTTCATTTTTACACGTAACTAATTTTCTACTCTCCCAGACACGGGAATTTTTTTAAAATAATAATTTCAGTCACTCTTACACAAAAGCTGTAAGTTTTATATCAAGTAGTAAAAATGAATTTTAGTCAGACATAACGAAACATTAAAATGTCTAATTTCCCTAATCTGTATTTCTAATATATTTTTTAGTAATAATTGAAATATTTCGTGATAATCTAGTAAAGAAAATGTTTGTAAAAAAAACAAAAAGAGAAATTATATTTTATTCCCTCTCATAAATCATGATTTGCAAATTGAGGCAATTATTTGTCGTTATAGGAATTGTCATCGTGTGAATTTGAAAACATATCAATCTGTCTGTTTGGTATGTAATCAATCACCTTTTTTTTTGATTTTATTTCATGAATACACCACGACATTTTTCTATAAATGACAAAAACATTTCAGAAAGTTAAATACAATTTTTTATTTATTAACTTTTTTAAATTGCACTTTTATAAATTTATTTATTCGTTTTATTTATTACAGAACATTTTTTTAAAAATAAAATTGTTCTTTTAAACCAAATATTTTTACTTTTTAGAATATTTTAGAATTTACCAAATAGTTTTTATATGAATTAAATAAACTGTATTTGGATCAAATAAAAAAATAAATAATTTCTGTATTTGAAACAAATAATAATTACAAATAAATATTTATTTGATAATAGTCGATTATTTGAATCAAATAAATTATTTTTTTAGTGTATACAGTTTAAATATTTTTAAGATATAGATAATTTTTTTATTAACTCGCCTTTATTTGAATTTGAGGACAGTAATTAACTTGTGAACAATATAAATCAAAGAGGCTAAAGCTTGGCATAGAGAATCCAAGTGACTACTACATGGTAATTAGGACTTTGTTTAGGAACTTCGACTTCTCATGATAAACGTATAGAACAAGTTTCGAACTTTCTTGTTTGAAAATCTTAACTTGATCTCAAACTTGTTTTTGCTTCTCGAATATACAATGGAAATTAACATAATTTTGAATCATACATTCTAAGCAGCTGTCAACAATTTTCTAAACATTTAGTTGTAAAAAGAAAATATTTTTTCTCTTCGAAAACTTCCAACAAAAACTTTTTAATTAATGAAGAATAATGCAGAACACTCATTCACAATTTTTTACAATCCCTAAATTCCACCTATTTTTGAATTTCACTGATTTCGAATTTCAAGAGTAAGAAAATTCTTTTTAAAAAAACAGCATCAATATTCTGATGTAATATTTCAAGGGTATATAATCTTGTAAAATATTGTAAAAATTTTCATGAGGAATATGTATATATATATATGGTGTAGAGTACCATGTCCGATAATACTTTCAAAATCCTATCTAATAAATTCAGGTAATAAACGAAATGGTGAATAAAATAATTGCAGCATTAAAACTTTCTTATGATGCGCGTTTAATGTTTGTTCATGTTAACCAGAACTGAGAAACATTAAGTTAGTGAACAAGTTTCAAGAATATTTTTCAAAGTAATTAAAGTCACATAAATCTAAAGTAAAATAAGAGAGCGTTGAGTTTAAAGATGTTGACTCAATATATTTATGACAAAATATAATCTCAAGAAACGATGATGTTAAATCACATTTTAAATCTTAGACATGCAATTCAAACTGTTACTGACATTTTCCTTTCAATATTTTTCTAGCAAGTTATTACGTAACTTTAATATCAATATTTTTCTTTTTTGAAAAAAGAAATATATATTTGGAATAATTGGAATTTCAATTCAAATTATACCTTTGGAAACTAAAATAAAAAAAAATTTTCTTTGATTTCTAGGATCAATAAGCAATATCGATGGAGCTGAATACCACTGCAATAAAACTACAGTTCGAAAAGTCATTAGTGGAGTCGTAGGAGCTGCCAGCTCTGTCACATCGATTCAAGTTGCCAATCTTTTGCGTCTCTTTCGAATTCCCCAGGTGAGATTATTTCCTTTTTTTGAGAGAAAAAAAAATTTTTTTAATCTCTTTAAATAAAATAGAATTAGGTATATAATTTTTAAAATACAAAAGAAAAATACAAATTGCTCTTGAAGAATAAAGTTCTTTTCAATGAAAATGAATTTTCAAACTATTTTCGCAAATACAAGTGGAAAATTTTTTAATTTTACGCAAAAAATTAAAACTAAATTACTTAATAAATTGCTTTCTTCTTTTGTATTTTTCCAATTTCTTTTTTTACTATCCCATAAAAGAATCTTTTCATTTTTACTTTTTCTTTTTTTCAATCGTAAAAAGAAGAGTAAAAAGCATTTTATACGATATTTACTTTTCGCAATGAATTTCGACCATCGCAGTCTAAAAATGTCTTACATATATAAAACCATTGACGTAAACGAAAAAAAAAAAAAATAATAATTTTTGAATATGATGTATTTTATGAATTTTAATACTCCTTACACTTCAATTCTACAAAAATAAAAAATATTCCACAATTAACAACAAGCGCACGACAAGAATTTTAATTAAAATAGTTAAAAATAAGTACCATGTTTTTATTATCAATTAAAAAATACATCAAGAATAATTTAAATATTTCAAGAATACTCCTTTTGGAATATTATATTTTATAGATACATATTTTTTTAATTATATTTTATTTAAAATACTTGTTTTTCTATTCATTAATAATAATTGTAAAATAATTATTTTACATTTTGAATAAATAATTTTATTATATTACATCATTATATTTTTAATAAAAAAATATAATATATAGTAAAATTATTTATCCAAAATATCATGAAAAATAATTATTTTACAATTTTTCTATTTAATTTACTATGGAAAAATTTTGAAAATGGGTAAAATATTCTCCTCACGAAAAGAAATAGTTGATATCTTCTTTCAACGTAAAAATTCCTAAAAGGTTATTATGTGCCCTTTCTTTAACCTCCTTTTAGCGTCCTTATGCAATTTGTACACCCAACCCATGGTCTATAATATTATCTACAGATTAATAATGGCCTGAAATGTGATATTTGCTAACTGGCCCGATTGTATTCAAAGGAAGCAAGAAAATGGGAAATCCACTAAATGCATAATACCTGCAGTTTATGACGTAAACGTGAAACTTTAAGCTTCCATGCTAGTCATGTTCGAACGTAAATTCTGCTGTCTTTAATGCTCATATTTGCATAGATATCAAAAATTCAAAAGAATTCCGCTTTTTTTTCCACTGATATTAAATTATTTATCTTAATATACCGTGAAAAGAACAATACTTCAAAAAAGTAACTCGCTAAAACTGAAGGCCCAGTTAGTTTTTTTTTTAAATTAAAAATTCCCGCCCATTTTACTATATTTTATCAGAGAAAAAAAAATGAATAAAATATAGTCAAAAGGAGGAGAGCTTGTGGTTTTAAAATGTTACAGAAGAGAAAAGATCTTTCTATAGAAATAAAAGTTTAATAAATGAAATTATGAACGCAGAACAAAAGCAGTAGTTATATTTCCCTTTTGGTCAGAGGCAGTTTTCTTTTATAAAGTTAATCAGCGGTTTTAGTCGTTTAAAACAGTTTAGCTCAATGTTCAGTAGTATAAGAATATAACTTGGTCAGACGCGCTTTACTGTAGCAAGTTTAAGGAGAAAAGTTTTCAAGTATTGCAGTAGTAAAAGAATACAATTAATCAGACAGAAGTGGTATGAAAATAAATAGAAAGTAAAGTAAAAGTCTATATAAAGAATATATCTAGACTTTCAGTAATATAAATAAAGATTGGTCAAACATTCATTAATTGTAATTTACTTTACATGTGTATAGTTTAAAAATTTATACCGTAAGAAAAATTCTATATTTCTCTCATTTTTATAAAATATTATATTTTGAGAAATTATAATTTATATAATTTAAAAAATTCGTAAACATTTAGTAGTGAAAGAGTGCATTAATCAGAGCAAAGGAAAATGAAGATAAATGAAATTCTAAATCAATTAGATTTTCAGTAGAATTATTGCAGTTTAGTTAGACTTTAATAAAGGTAATCAAGATTTATCTGCATTTCAGTAGTGTAAGAAAACTTTAGTCAGACCACACTATTTATCAACGAAACTGAGAGTAGTATAAGAAGAGAGTATGTGGTCAGAGATTTTGTAATGACGTACAAAAAGGGTTGAAGAATTTCACTTGAATTTTCAGTAGTATTAGTGGAGTTTAGTCAGACTCTAATAAAAAGGTAATAAGTAAATCAAGATTTATCTGAATTTCCACGTAGTTAAAAGAGAACTTTAGTCAGACCAGAATTTATCGATGTAATTGAATAGTAGAAAAAAGAAGACTTTGGTCAGAGGTCCAATGTAATATAAAAAAAGATTGAGTACTAATTTCTCTTTTCCTTTCAATTATAAGAAAAAGGAACCCTTCAATCAGACAAAAGAGGAATAAAAAAATTTAATTGAATTCAAAGATTTTCAGAAATATGTATGACTGAAGAAAATCATATTATCAAATTTAGTTAATTAATTTGTTTCTAGAACTATTTTTTTTTCTATCAATCTACTTATTTGTACCTATTTATTATTCAATTGCATTCTTGATCTAGAAATTTATCTTCAAGTTATATAAATATAAATACACCTTCACTTTGCGATATTAATTCAATAAAATCGACTCGTGAATTTTTAAAATTTAACCTTTTTCTTTTTTTAAAATACAAGCAGTATTTATATTTTAATTTCAAGAGAGAATAGACATCCTAACATACAGTATTTAAATTATAAATAAAATAAATAGAATTCGATGAACTGAAATCGTATTTCTTAAAATACGCATCAGTTGCATGTCATGAAATTTATATCACTCTTTCACTAAAAATTTTTAACTAAAATCTTTTAGTAATCTTACAATTATTTATTAAAAAAAAATTTTAATTTCTATAACTTTACATAAATTCTCCCATATTCAATTTCCACTAAAAAAAAAAAGATATCACACAATTGAATTTGATGGATAAATTACAAATTTCGATGAAATTGTCCATTTTTTCTGTTTATATAAAGTATTCTCTGAGAAAGTGACTTATTCTGTATTTGAACGTTTTTTTTTTCTCTTTTTTTCATTATTTCTACTCGACTACTCATTCTGAAACAAAAACCGAATACGTTCAAACGTCGAACATTTGTCGTTGAAAGGTCTGTTGAGAAATATCCTAGGAAACTCGATTTTTCTAAAGGATTCCTATCTTGTGGATAAAGTTCTGAATAAATAATTCAGTCGACACGGATTTGAATAATTCACAATATCAAGAAAAATTCAAAAGAATAGAGAAATATACTATGGGACAAAATTTCCCTATACATGAAATATTCTCATGCAAAAAATATATATTTCGTTTAACCAAATTTTATACATTTATATAAATATTTATTTTACAAATATTTTTATATAAATATTTATATATAAATATTTTTATATAAATATTTATATAAATTTTAATTAGAATTGAAAAATTAAATATTGAATAGAAAATTTAATAAGTTAAAAAAGATAAATTAGATCACTATATGCTTGAATCGGTAATTGAAAGAATATTTTTTATTTTCGAAATTTAGAATTTTCTTTTAATAAAAAACAGAAGTACTTGAATAAATCAGAGTGAAAAATTGTTATATCGATTGCAATGTATCTGGCACACTTGACATATTAATATTTTTTAAACTCTAAATTTCGCCTTGGAAAGAAAATCTCAGATAATCTTGGAAGGGTGTCGAAACATAAATCTATGAAAAGCCTCGCGAAAGCTTTAATTCTACTCTACCCGGGATACATTGCAGTAGGAATTATCCATTTCTATGCAAAACATGAGCTGAAACGAAGAATCTTGAGAGGAAGTGACTGTAAAGTAAACGAGAAGGTTGACGGTGAAGGAAAAGGAAATAAAAGAAATGTGCATGTATATATATATATATATTGCATGACCTGCTGCTTTTTTATGAGTTAAGAACCTTTAAGAATTCTTAAACTCTAGAAATTCCATTAAAGCTCACGCCTTCTGATTTTATATTAGTTGTGTAGGTACCTTAATGTTTCTCACGTTTCAAACAATTAAATATTTATATAATTACTTCATTTCAAATTATTCGTCTAAAATTTTTTTTTAAATATAAATTCACAAAGAATTTAATTAATTATTATTAATTAAATAATTAATTTATTTGAAAGTAATTGTTAAACAATAGCATAAATTAATAGTAATAATAATAATAATAATAATTAATAATCATTTTAATATAAATTCACGAAGAATTTAATTAATTATTAATTATCAAATATTAATTAATTTATTATAATTAATTAAACAATAATTACAAATTATTGTTATATATATTTATAGCAAGTATTTTGTTAGTTTTCGGATAAATAATTTGGAAATATTTACTAATTGCAAAATTATTATCAAGATTAACAAGTTTTTCAAGTGGAAGAAGGCGATTTGAAGTGGGAGTTGATTTGTTGAAGCGAACTCTTTCACTGCTCTTGATTGATGAGAGCAAGAAGAAATTAGGTTGTTTTTTCCCAAGTGCCTAGACCGGAGTTTATCCTGAAATTTAGCAGAAAATCTTGCGACCTTCATAAATTGCCTGCAAGTGAAACGTGCATCTGACAACTCTACCTGTGCAAAGTGAATCCAAGTTTTCACTCAATACAAATATTTCGAAAGGAATATTAATACTGCAAAATTAATCCTCAAAAAAAACCCAGAGAAATTTTTTATTTCAATCAAATAAAATTTATTTGAAATTAAATAAAAATATATATTTGTCGAGAATAAATAGAAATAAAAATAAAAGAATAACTATTTTATATTTGTTTCAAATAAAAAATTTTCTTTCGCACAAATAAAATTTTATTTGGCGCAAATAAATTTAAAAATAAAATTTATCTGAAACAAATACTTTTAATTTTATCTTGACTACAATT